CAGTGGGCAGGGTTGACAAACCACAAGAAAGATCACCTGCAGGCGGGAGCTTGTTTTTCCGATCGCCAGTTCTTATTTTTCAAATGCATCAGAATCAAAACTAAACCACCGTTTAGTCAGTACAATCTCTGGTGTAGTTAACTGAGGTGAAACTTATGTCAAAAAACAGAAATGACGAGCTTTGGCACCATAAATTGGGTGAAATTGTATTTGCATCACACAGTTCAGTGACTGCAGAGAAGGACATTCTCATCCCTGTCATACTGGCTAACAAGCTAATTACCTCTTACCTGGAAGATCTGCTATGACTCATGCTGTCTTGAGTCACACAGATACACACACTCACACGCACACACACTGTAGCGCAAGCACTAACACCGACATGATCGCCCCACTTCTCTGTCTTTCTCGCTCTGGCTCGCCTTCAAACACACACACACACACACACACACACACACACACACACACACACACACACACACACATGCACTCGATCACCCCAGTCTCCAATGCAATGATGTCATTCTTTGATGTCTCCTCTATTAAAAGAGTATGAGATCACCGGGGTATGACATCACCGCTCTTAGGGTAGTTGAATAATAGGTTTGGTCAGAAACAATAAAATAAAGATCACAAAATCACTGAAACCCATATATACTGTATGATGAGGTCTTATCCAGATATGACTCATTTTTATTTTTAATTTTATAGACAACAGATGAATATAATAAGAATTTTGTAGCAGGAAAATAGAAAACAGGATTTAAAAAACAGTGGACTAATAAAAAAAATAGACATAAAGCAACAGAGCAAAGTTACTCCACAAATCCGATTAGCAATGGCTTAGTGATGTATCATTGATTGTTATTCAGCAAGCCACCACAGGATGTTATTACAGTGCAGTACACTGTGGGCATCACACAGTATCGGTTGTGACAAGCAGAGATGCTGCAGTTAGCGTTGTGTTGCCAGTTAAAATGCTTCATGGGTCCATTAGGAGCACTCTCTTCCTTCATTATTTACACAGCAAATGTGGGATTTCAGACATTAGGTTGTGACTGACACGCTCTCGTTGTTAGTAGAGTTGACATCTTGTGAACAACTTGGAATTTACAAAGTTCCTTCTGTGTATTTTTTTTTCTAGAATGAAGATATCCACATTTTCATGACTTTTTTTTTGTGACAGAGAAACTTCTGAGGTGAAATATTTAAAACATCAAAAGTAGCAGCTGAAATGTAAAAATCTTTGATGTTCAGTATTTCAGAAGACCCAGATAAAGCTTTATTATTCCAACCTCACAATGTAAAACCTCCTTCCCACAGGCTAATTTTCTCTCTTCTTCTCTCCAACCCACCTTTTATCTATCATGCTCTTCTTCTTTCCAACCTTACATGTCACCCCCCCCCCCCCCCCCCCCCCCCCCCCCCCCCATCCCCTCCCTCCACTCAGATGCTGCAGAGGAGTCTAAAGAAGAGGAGGCCACCCCAGCAGATGGAGCGGCAGAGGCCACCGAGTCCAAGGATGACTAAAGCAAAGTCTAACCTAAAGAAAGCAGAATTAAGAGTATGAAGAATAACACAAAATCAAAAATCTAAAAAGGTTGCTCTTTGCCTTCCCAATGTGAAGGCAGTCCGTTTCTATTTGTTTGTCATTTTTTGTGTGGCAATGATTTTCTCATGTTGGGGGAGTTTCCAGCGTGAAGTTTTTTGGCTCAAGCTAATACTATGAGGAAGTGATGATGATGATGATGATGATGATGATGATGATGATGATGATGATGATGATGATGATGATGATGTTGATGGGGAGGAGGATTTGATTCGGTACATCTTCACTATTTAATGTAAGTGAAATAATGGTGGAATGAATGCTCCCAACTGGATATTTACACATTTAAAATGCATTGCCAGTGCAACATCCTTAATTTGCATTGCAATGCACTTTCTTTGACACATTTTCCAAATAAAGTCCGTTCTGCAAATGCACGCACAAAAACAAACTGGTTTTGAAATGCAATTATAGTTTTCGACACGGTACAGGTGTATTGAGAACACAACAAAATAGGTAATGTACTGTCACATTGGATGGAAAATAGAATGTATAATTAAATGTGTGACATTTCCAGTTGGGCAGCTTTATCCTCAATTCAAAAACCACATGTAGGACAAGACTATCACTCTCTCTCTATTCTGCTTGAGTCATTCAAGCTTGGTTTACACCCCTTTTACAAACTCTCTGTTTACCCACATTTACAGTAAAGGACCTGTTGCCATTTGAATGACATGATCATATAATAAACTATAGAAATCAGCTATAGTATTGATGTAACTGGCTCTTATATGACGATTTGTGTTCTGCCAAACCAAACATGAGAACAGTAGCATGAACCATCGAACCAGATGCATGATGGGAACTCTCCCTCTGAGAGGAACTTTTTCGCAGTCACAAAAACTTAAGAGGTGTGGCGGCTTCTTTTTGATGTCTTTGGTGTTGTTATGACAGTTTATATGAATTGGAAAATTACTCTTGCACTGATGTTACAAAAAAAAAAGAAGAAAAATCAAACAAATGAGCAAACAAAAAATACTTTTCCTATGTTCCAGTGAGTGCAATGTCCAGTTTCAACCTTATCAAGGAGTTCAAACTTGTGAGAAAAAAATATGAAAAAATAAAAATGGTTTCAATGTCTGTTTTCAAAATAAAGCAAATGTGCCAATTACCATCATAAACTGTGGAGTTTATCTAAAGCTGTGTTGAAACCTCATTCCAGGGTGGCCAGTGGTCTAATGGTTTAGTTGCATATCACAAATATCACATAAATGCAACATCCACAGTCAATCATCAAATAAGGGCAAAATGCCAATACATAAACCTTAAAAACCTCCAGTGTTTGTGGGAGATCTGACTGTAAACTCAACAAATGTGTGTAGCAGTGTCCCACGGCTCCATCTAATTGGTTACACACCATAAGTAATAGCCTATCACGCTGAAGGCTGCTGTCTACACAGACGTTAATGGGCGGAGCTGTGTGTCAAAGGCAGCAGACATCATGAAGTTTTAATGAACATCACAGTCCTGTACACTGAAGTTACAACACCACACTGTAATGAACAAGTTCATCTGTTGATCCAAGACACACCCAGCAAGAGAGAGGGAGAGAAGCTAGTGCTAATTGCTAAGCTAAAGTAACTAGCGGATCTGAACAGCATGTAAACAAATTAGTGAAAGTCGCTAATAGGAGCAGAGAGCTCTGAGTGCTGGAGCAAAACTAGTGTAAGTTTAAATGTACAGTGGGTAGTTAGTCATTGTGATGAAGAAAACAGGGACATTAACTGTGTTTAGACAGAGCAGCAATAAACTCTACCAGTAACAGAAACTCCAGAGACTGGGGATTACACACTGCACTGACAGCAGCACGTTAGCTTGTGAACGGCCACTAACTACTGTTACTGAAAATACATTTTACTACAGTAGAAGTAAAATCACTGTGTAAAAATGTTTGCAGATAAAAGTACAATGTAAGTCAGTTAAAATGTCTCTGAATAAATGTGTTACATTTTAAAAGAGGAGGGGTAAAACATGTTATATGGTGATAATAGTAATATATGATAAAAATATTAAAATCAGAACATCTTTAGGCTGCCAGGTGAATCAGTTCAGCACCGAAATCCACCAAATAATCCCAGTCAGGCACTATACAGCCTGTGCATACAACTGATAATTACTAATATACACTCAGTCGTCAATTTATTAGGAACATGTAGCTAAAACTGATGTAGTCTAATACAACAGTCCTGTTGTAAAACCTCCTGCATGTAAAGTTATAATCAGTTTTTATTAAAATAGTTTTAGACGCTTGTTGATTCAACTGATCATTTTGGAGGATGTAGTGTTTGAAGCTGTATTACATTATACAGAGAGGTGTTTCTGTTATTTACCTTACCTTCAATTATATAAATGGGATGGACAAAATAATAGAAACACCTGGACACCACAGTGAGAGTCCTTATGTAGCAGTAGTTTTGTGTTGGAATATCAGTTCCAAATATTGGAAGTAGCATGGTTCAGTGAAAATGTAATAAATAATAATAACCCCAAGGTAACATTAACATAAATACCAACTTCAGTCTCGAAAAATTTGTATGACCTTTATGCTAATGAAGCTAGTTTGCTGAACATGCAAGTCCTGGAATGAGGATTAGGTTTCTGAAAAGTTTGTTTTATCGCCCTCTTCCCGCTGAGTCAGACACTCTCCTGTGCCTTCCTGTCCTGTCTTACTCTTATCTAGTTTTATCAAGTTTTTACCCTCTAGTTTCAAATTTTCTTTTTCAAATCCCTCCATTTCAAGGACTTTCTTTCACCTTTTTGTGCAACAAAAGTAAAAAAATAACGCTGGTTTTTACCTCATCTCTCTGAATAATAACATTCACTATAGTCGATATATGTAATACATAAGATAAAACCTACTTTCAGCCACTGAACAGCCCCAACAGTTCCAGATTAGATATTTTACTCAGGGAGTTCTTAAAAGCTGTTCCAGGACATTGTGAGGGTTCCTCATTTGCTTTCCTGGCCCACATTTTCCCAGCTGGCACTGTGGTTTGAGCCAGAAACTGTGCAGCAACAGGCTTGATTTTCTAACCTCTAACACTGCTACAATCCCCTGTTCATATTCAGAGTCAGAAGCCAACAGTGATGCAGAATAATGTGTTTGTGTCCTCATTTTTCCAAATGCCACAACACAGCAAGGGTATAACTTGGTGTGTTATGACATCTGGTGGACAAACCTTTTACTGCAGCTGTTCCCATGACAGTGGAATAATGAGCCTGTGCCATATTGTCGTTAATGGCGGTGCTGGCAACACCCGTCTTACCTTTCATCTTTGGCACAAAAGAGTGAAACTGGAGCGTTTCCTTGGTGATGAGTTGAATGTTACACTTTCTGAGAACAAAAAAATTCTTCCAGGGACATTTATAACAATACATATTTTATTTGCATGTTACATGGTGATAAACACAACAGTGCCATTGAGTTTCTGTGTGTTCCAAGCTATCTCCAAAAAGAAAGAAAGAAAAAAAAACAGCTTACTTGCCCCAACATCTCAAGTCACATTCAAATACAGAACACTGAATTCAAACAACTTTATTTTGCGTAATTAACATTTTCTCATATACCTTTTATTACATGTCATTTTTTAGAAACTGATTGCAATTACCTTATGCCGTAATAAAATAAAATAAAACAGAAAAAAAGAGACCAGGACATTGCTGTGTCATAATCCATGATTGAATCTTAATTTCCCATGACAAAGGGAAGGGAAGTACAAACATGATAGTTACATTTGCTGTTTAAATTTTTAAATGTTGAGTTGTATAAACATGATCTTATGGATCTGCTGACTTTACAACATTCTACTGTAGAAACATCATACTGTATATACACACAAAGGAGGAAAAGAAAAAAAAAGAATCTAAACTTAAAATTGAGGGTTACCACTGTAACCATATAGCTCGGTGGAAAGTTGAAAGCTAGCTGTTCGGCCAACTCATCATGTATCTCATGCCTCATGTATGTATGTAACTCCTCAGGTAGGTTAATAAGAATGAACAGAATCTTATGAGCACACACGCGCACATACATAAGCCAGTTTTGTACAGTGAAGCGATGATGATGTTTTGAGGCAATGGTCAATAGCAAACCTAAAGCTGTATCTACAGTCTTCAGTAGATATCCAGGTCTGTCTACAGGGGGTTGGTGCTGTGTCCATAGGCTGGCTGTTGGTCTTTATCAGCAATGGAAATACACTATTTCATATTCATTTTCTGCTTTATGGATAAGACAGAGCTCCATGGCTTTTGTTTAAGTGGTCTTTGTTCATTAGTCAGTGCTTGTTGGCTGATTTTAACCTGCATGGAAAACTTGGTCACCCAAATTGGTGAGGTTTGCCTCCTATGCAAATCACCTGGATGGTATGAAGGTTTAAACAATGAATGACAGTCAATATACTGTCCTTTAAAGTCTCTTGATGCACTGATTTCTACCTATCATTCATCCCAAGCAGGTTAAAATAAATGCTGAGCACAATTTGAAGATATTTGAGCCTGCTCTGGTCGTCTGTTGATTCCTCTGGCAAAAAAGCACATTTGAGTTTGTCTGAGTGTCCGCCCAAGGCCAGCCTTGCTCTGCCCTGAGATTTTTTTTTGTTTTTTGTTTTTTTAATTTTTTTATTTAATGCGACACACAGTGAGACAGACAGACTTACTGGAATAGACATGTAGCACAGACTGCTCTCATGCAAACTGATCATGAAGAATTTTGCCACAGCTTCCACGTCATTCACTTCTTACTACAGTAAAATGGCTGCTGCTGATAAACTAGCATCCTCAAGTATGGGTTAGTCAGTGGCTAAAAAGCAATTAGGAGAGCCTGCGGAAATACCAGTGTAGTAGAAAAACATTAGGAGTCAAGTTAATCCACATTAAAGTGGCTACACCAGAGTTACTTGTTCAGTTGTAAAAAAATAAACAAAAACACGTGCGTAAGATGATGAAAGCATAAAAACAAGCAGCTTTCTTTCACTTCCTTGACTGATTTACTGATAGAGACGATAGAAATGTTGTTTCAACTGTTTAAATGCTTCAGTTTTGGTTAAAATTGTGGCCTGTTTCAGTCTCTGTACAGCTCTGTATCTATAGTTTCACCTACATGAAAATTAGACCGGATCAGATGGCATTACCAACACTACAATGTCACACCGCCATGGCCTCAGAAGCATTTACAATGAAAACACCAGGAACAAGTCTTTTAATGTGCGATGACAAGGATGACAGTAATTACACGTGTGTTTTACAGTACTAGAGCTATCTCGGCTGTTAGAAGAGCGGAGATGTGAACACACATCCAGTCGTGGAGCTGAGCTGGGCGCCGGTGTCCATATGCTATTAGTCACCTTACAGTAGGTCAAAATAAATGGCAAAAAAGGCAGCTAATAGTGCACAGTTTCTGCAATTCTCATCACAACAGCAATGACCTTTCAGCTGTTTCCTGAAAGAATTGCACTGTTTGAAAGGTCTTCTTCTTGTGAGTTTTACAAAATATTAACTCTATGGTGTGAAGAGAAAATTAGCTGTAGGACCTGTAATGTAATGGTATTATTTTGTTAAGGAGGCATCAGTACAGTGGCCTTGAAGGCCATTGAGGGGAACAAGCAATGTTTGCTTTCTTGGCTGCTCTCATATTAATTACCTGGTACATGGACAAGCATTGTAAGCTAAACATAATATTCCATTCTCTATTACATCATGTAAGCCAGTACTTGTATCATCTCAAGGATAGGTACAATAAGAACTGCACAAAACTTATGCTAGACCTTTTTTTCTTTTTTTTTTTTAACATCATTGTGTAATGGGCTTCAGTTCACATGATAGAACGGGGTTGCCAGTTCAAGAGATCTGCAAGTTATCCATCCTCAACAAAATTATATCCTATTCAGAAACATGGAGACATAAAATTTGCCTTTTCATATAGTCTAAGGACATTGGATTCAAGTATATATACACACACAACTAAAATGAATGAGGTAAAGACAGAAAAAATAACCTCAATATCAATATATTATGAATTTTTCTGTATCATTTCATATTAAAACACACATACTTCTTTGAAAGAGAAAAACTAAAAAGTGAGTCATTCATTGGTGTCATACTTTTTTTATCCAAATTCCAGCAGTATAGAAGAATGATCCTAAAACTTATAAACTAAAAGCAAACACTGTTTTGTAGTACAGTATATGTAGCCAAACACGGTGCAGCCTGCCTGTGGAGCAGAGACACACTGCACAGTACGGTTGGTTGGTCATCAGACGAGCAACATACACCGCAACAATCTTCTCTGTTTCCAGTTGTTACAGCGGCAGAACACGTTTGTCTTATCATAGAGAAATACAAAATTTTTACTATTTACAGTACGCGTCGTTATAACCTACTGTGTTTCTATTTTAAGAGAGAGAGTCCTGCTGCAAAAAGAAAAGAGGGATTCTTTTGGAATAAAGGCGAGTGGTTGTAAAGCCACTGAAGATGGATGTAGACATCCATCACCAGATTAACTAATTTCCTCAGGTGTGCACTCTGCATTGGTTTAGCTCAGTTAGGATCAAGTCAATTCTATTCACTGCATCCTCGGTTTCTGGGCTGGACGGCAACAACCCAAGTGACTGCTGCATCTAGAAACAATGCCACTGATTGGAGAGATACCCTGCTAATGCTTTATATATATGAGTTTCAGTCTAATAGCATTAGATTATGGTCGTACAGACTTTTAATATCAAGCTTTAATCTCATTACACAATCAGCTGCTGTGTTCTCCCTTTGATTTCTGTATGTGTTAGTTTCAAATCTACAGTATATTGTATGTATATTTGGCAGATACTTTGCATGTTGCTCATTAATGCACTGGTTAAACACTCGGTTAGATCTACAATTTAAGTTAACATAATGGGAGTAAGAAGAAACATATCTCATGTCTTTAGTACTTCTAGAGACAAATGATTGTTGGCATCCCTGTGAGCAGGGTGCCTCTGCTTTCATTCCCGTGAAGACAAAAATATGATGAATCCTGAACCCGATCCACACCCCCAAAAGACAAGATATAGCAGAAACAAAGAAGTGCATATGAATTAAAAAGAGCAATGCATTTCTTTAAAAGAGAACTGTTTGCTTGTTCTGTCCTTCATTTCACTGTTTTTTTTATTTTGTTGTTGTTCGTCTTACATTTTTACTCATAACCCATCGCTTTTCGTTATATCTGTAAGCAGTGCTCGTGAGCACGTAAGGTTTTCGTATCATGATGCAAACAGTCTGGAAGGGTGGTAAAGTAGGTAATAAGGTAGCAATAAGGATGTCGGTGAGTCGGAGACAAGGAGGAGGAGGAGGAGGAGGAAGAAAGGCCAGAAGGGGAGAGGGAGGAGGAGGAGGAGGAGGGAGACAGCGGTATTAACACTTGAAGAAAAGGCAGGCGAAGGAGGCCAGCAGGAGCCACAGTGATTGAGATACACAGGCAGCGCCGTTGATATCACGGCCTGTCCCGGGTCCTACACAGAGAGAGAGAGAGAGAGAGAGCAGACGAGAGAAGAGAGAGAGAGAGAGAGAGAGAGAGAGAGAGGGGTGTTAATGTAGGAGACAGAGTGACTACCAAAGAGCTCACTCAGGCTGGCAGAGCTGCTAACTATTGCCACTATATTGATTTAAACAAGGAAAAAAGATGACAAATATATCAATATCCACCATTTTGGTTTTCATTCACGAAGGTAATTTTAATGTTTTTAAAGGTAGTTTAAGAGAGAATGGCACCAAAAAATGTTCTTGGTTGACAAAGCTCGAAAATTGACAGTGATACCACTAACAAATGAATTCTTCCGGTGCTATAAATTTTATACATATTTGCATTTCAGTTGGTAAAAACATAAAATATGATGTGTTTAAATGAGCTGTAGCCTGTCCGAGTTTGTAAGTGACTACAGGCTTGTTTAGTGCCATCTGGTGGCCATGCTGTACTGCTGACTCTGTTTCTGTGATTGCAGCTCATGTGTAATCCATGCCACTGTAGAAATAAAAAAGTCAAAATGAACATTAAGTCAGTGGAGAGAGAACTGTGGTTGCAGTTCTGGTCAAACCCCAACCAGCAATGTTTTGTCTTGGAGACAACGCTTCATTTGGTCTCTGTGTGTGTGTGTGTGTATGTGTGTGTGTGCGTGTGTGTGTGTGTGTGTGTGTGTGTGTGTGGGTGTGTGTGTGGTAGATATGATGTTGAATCTGTATGAGCTGATAATGAAACAGCAGCAGGTGCTGGAGATGTTTTGGTGAACTTTAAAGTGGCCGATATTGGACATTTTAAGTTATGGCAGAAACATAATGACACCTTTCCTCTCTGAATTCAGCCACAACAAGCCATGTGAGATATATGATCACTGGTCTTTATTGTGTATGATGCTGCTGTTTGTGTGCCAAATAGAGATGGAGTGGAAACCACTGGCTCAAACTAGCTCTGTGTTTGTGGAAACACAGAGTTGTTTTGTTAAGAATAAAACATTCAGAGGTGTCATAGTAATAGCTGTTCATAGCTGTATATTTTTTAATAAAATAACTAATTCAAACTGTAAAGCAATTGGCTGTAGTGGCCATACTCACTATAGAGGAAAAGGCTGGCATTCTGGACGCCCAGTCGGTTCGAGGCCACACAGGTATAGTTCCCATAATCCTCTTCGGTGACATTGGCAATCATGAGAATAGTGGTAGTGCCAAGAATTTGGATATTGATGCCCTGGGTATTGGACAGCCTGGAGAGGAGAGACACACAGAGGTGAGGCCATTTTAAGTGAAATGTAAAGTAATGACACTTAGAGGACTTGAAGCTAGAGGGAAGTTAGTGACATTTCAGTAAACATAATACATACAATACAATATAAGGAAAAGTTCACTAAAGTTGAATTAGCTAACAAAATTTTTACCGAAAGAAAATACACACTTTGAGTGTTTTTGAAAAATTACTCATAACCTACTTGTGGTTTAAAAATAGACTTGATAATCAGCTTTACAGCAACATGGCACTTGTGTGGCATGTGGTTGTCAGGATTCAGCTATTTTCTGAATGTGGTGTTATGTTCTAGAGGCACAATGTGCTGCTTCATAAAGTGATCTCTGTGAATCCCCTCACAAAATGATTTTGTCAGTACAGCACATTTCTGTTAAATTTGTTCATGAATAAATTATATTTTATTCAATTTAGTCTTAATGTGACTCTTTCTGCACACTTACTACTACACGCTGAAGGCCATGTAGTGGAACTTTGGAGACGGCCAGATCCATATACTAAGAAATCAATAACAGACCTTAATAACACAGCCCCAAAGATGAATAAAAACCTCACAACAATTTTAACAGAAATGCCAGTATTTACTGTGTGTGGGCTCAGGTATTCAGATAAATAATAACATTAATCATATCCCATAAGGAGTTGTTGCTTTTGTGCTGGCAATCACTTTGCAATAGCAGGGGTCAGTGTCATTTCAGTGAACTTTATGAGAGTAGCTGTTGTGATTGTTAAAGAGGGGAGATGAGCCCTTCTCATTTTGAACCAAACCTTTTTTTTTTTTCATTACAACACAATGCTGCATTTACCACAGAGCCATCCAATTATGTGGCCAGAAAAGAAAAACGAGATGACATTTAGACTTTCCTTTAGGGTTTGCAGAAACGTAACAACTTATAAACATGTCAAAACAAGACACAAACATTCCTCAGGAAATATTTCTGTGTGGATATTTACTGTAAGTTCTTGCTCTGGTTCAACAATTCAAAATGTCATTGTTCTATTTTGTTTCAACAAATTACTTTGTCGTCTTTTGTTTCCATCAGACAAACAGGATCATTGTCATCCTGTCTTGGGATAAAAGATTAGTATGCTGCTAAAGTCCAATTCTGCACTTCTGGGTGCCTTAATGACCACCAAACTTCTGACAATCAATTATGTCAACCTTGAACCTCTTTCACAGCAAATTAATCAATACAGTTTGCTGACTCAGACTGTATACCTCGCTGATGAAGTGCTCCTTACATCATCGCAACCAAATAAAACTCTTTTAATAACACAGTGCACATACTGGATTCTGTTTGTTCTGGGCTGATTGAGCCCTTTCGTATCATGAATGAGGTGAAGTTCATTTAAGGCGCCTCAACTTAATCCTGCTTAAGTCTGGGTAATGTGGTAATCGGAATTTGAGCAGGGGAGCGAGAAGTTTATGCTGACACATACTTAGCTGATAGAAAGTATTAACATAAAAAGGAAAATGCACATCATGGCACAGCATAATTTGGCTCAGTGGGGAGTGGGGAAGTTGATAAAGTGCTGAGGTCCTTCCCATAGGGACACCTTGGGAACAGTGGCAATGTGTATGTGTGTTTTTGTGTGTATGTGTGTGTGTGTGTGTGTGTGTTTGTGTGTGTGTGTGTGTGTGTTTGTGTATGTGTGTGCTACAGCAGTGTCCCCACTCCATCTAAAAGCAAACCCCCACCCTACAACGATAAGGCCAGCAGCAGATATATTCTCCAATGTGTCTTCATGAGAAGTGACTGCACTATTAAAAAGGACTGCCTGCCCACAGAGCATGCTGAGAGACCCCGATAATACACAAGCACTACAGGGAGCTGAAAGCAAACAGCTAGTTTTACTATAGATTATAGTGCATGATTGTAATGCAGCAGCAGGGGGGAAAAAAACTGGCCTAAAAAAGGTCAAAGCAGACAAAACTATCTTTTGTTTTCACAGTGAAGGTTTGTGGTTGGCTTTATTTGCACACAGGCCGTGAGTTTGGATGCCCAGCAGCAGAAAAACTGGAAAGTAAAGAGCAGGAAACTGGATCTTTAGCCCCCAAAGTGTGTATCCTTTTTATATTAGCATTTATTGAGCTCAACATTTCTGCTGCCCATTTTAACTTTTAATATGTTGGCACACGCAGATCGGCAGCTTGCAACTTCCCTCACTTTTGATTTCAAGTTCATCGTCAAATATGCCTGTGTCTGTGCCAGCTTCTTCATCTGGCATAATAGACTGGAATACATTATCGGAAAAGTTGGCAGAAATGTGCATTTCTACCTTTTTTTGGAGCAGAGTGTAACATACTTGACATCCATCCCCCGCAGACAGAGGGCAGCAGTGCACTACTGGCTAACTCCGGTGATCATTTCTCGATGCACAAAGCCACTCTGCCACATTAAACCCTGGATTGAAATGATTTGACCCCTCTATTTGGCAGAGGGCATGCAGTGTGTGCGCAGGTCTGCGGTGGCAGGCCGGCAGAGATGAAAGACCAGAGCAAATCATCAGATGGACAGATTTGATTCTGTAGCGTGTGGGAGCATCTAAAGTAGGTTATCACTGCCAGAGAAAGTGACAGGCCTGTTATGATTCAAGACGGATGATAAATGAAATCAAGTGGAGAGTCCTGCTGAGACTTGTAACCCAGAGATGATTGAAAACGGTCCAGTAGCTGTGACAGCTATGTATCAGCTGACAAAACAACAAACATATCTGTCTGTTACGTTGGCTGACGGCTCATTTTGGATTTTCTCATGTTATAAACATGGATGGAGTGATTTACTGCACAAGGAGCAGCAGAGACACTCTGCTTTCAAAGATGCGTTTGCAGATAGACTGCAGTAGTTGATTCTACAGTCAGATGTCAGGGTTAACATTATAGAATCGTTTGATTTACAGTTTGATCCAATTTCCTCCCTACACAGCCAGTTAGAAGAGACAAAAAGAGCAGGGAGGGTCCTGACAGCCAGGCAGTTACAGTGATCTGTTATGAACTATTGGCCAGCTGCTTTAAGATCATGATGGATCAGTCTACTGAGGGTAATTAGGTCTCTAAGTGCTGCAGAGTCTCTCAGATCCTTGTGGAGTCAGAGATGCTGTGAAGTTAAGTTTCAGAGCATCAGAGGTGCATTTGATCACCTGAGGAGGTGCATGTTTTCATGTGGATATTAAGGATATTAAGACCGACAGAGGATGGATGTGAATAAGGTTAGGTGAGGCGTCTCTACTCACAGGAGTGGAGAGAAAAGCGAGCTCTGTAGCCAAGTTTGTGTTCACCAGCTTGTGCCATGCGGTTTGTTTGAAGTATGGAGTGTTTACTCCTTCAGTTTGGTTTATTTGGGCAGGTGAGAGCAACGCTTTTTAAACTTGGCATTAGATAACTGGCCCAAAAATATGGGCTCAAATGAGGGTCAAAATGATTTTTAACTTGTAAAGTTATGTTCACAAATAATAAATCCAAAAGTCTGTAGTTGTAAATCAACCTTTGAAAACCTGTAAAATAAATCTGCAGGAGATATTCTGCTTTGTACATGTGTAGAAAAGATTTGTATTTGAAAAAGAAGAATGTGAATAAAAACTATGAACAAACAATATCAGTCGGTCGTGAGGTTACACAAAGACATTGTGAAAGAAGAAGTGGTTTTGTGGAGTTCTCTGTGTAGATCAAAGCAGAAAAACCTCCTGTAAAGCTCAGCACTCACATCACACATTGTATGTGACACTCAAGTTACAAGTATGAATTCTGACCCTGTTTTTACTCTTGAATCTGACTGGACAATAACGATCTGATTTGAAGAGCCCACGCCGTCATCCATCTTGCAAATCTACTCTACCTTTTGGATCTCTAGCAGAGATGAAGGCAACAGAGTCACCTGCCCTCTGACTGGACTCTTTGGATGCTTTGTGACTGAACTGTTATTATGCAATCAGATTCAGGTGTAAAAACAGGGTCAAAATACTTGTAACTTCTGCATCACACACAGTGTGCTGACTTTTTCACAGTCTATGTTTGCTGCTTTGTATCTGCACACAGATGCTCCCAGAAGCACTTCCTTTTTTCACAGTGTCTCTGTGTGACTTCACCACTGACATCATTTGTTCACAGTTTTAATTAATGTAATTAAAGTTTTAATTCACAGTCTCTCTCTTTTTGTATGAATACAAACTTTTTCTCTACACATGATACAAATTTGAAATTCATAAAAATTTATTTGACAGGTTTTTAAAGGTTAGCTATGTGAACTTTGGAATTATTTGTGAACATCAATTTACAAGCTTAAAATCTTTTTGACGCTAATTTGATCCCATACAAAAATGTGTGTCTCTGTCCTCTTCCAAGAGAGCTACAGTGTAGTTTGGTTGGGGTAACATAATGAGTGGGTTTGGACTGAGAGCCAAGATTCATTTTGAAATTGTATTCTTGTCACACTATTAATAAAATGTAACATACTGTGTTTAAGCTACAGCAATTGTTTTCAACAAATCTGAAACAAAAGATATTAAAAGTATTAAAAGAGATTAAGAAAAAACAATGAACCAATGTCAAATACAGTGAGACTATTATTTTACTAAAATAATCCTGCATCTGAAGGGTATCAGTAATTAAAATATTTGTTTTTCAAATACAGTTTAGGGATTAAAGAAGGTTTAATACAACGAGGGAGCAAAGCTGATCAGAAAACTTAACTGGACTTCTAAGAATGCAGAAATCATTAAAGTATGTTTAAGATTGAAATAATGAGAGGTGACGATCCAAATCCATCCATCATCAGTCCCCTGTCTCCTCACTTTTCATGTGTTTTTACTCGTGTGGAAATTTAAAATTTTTCAGTTATTGGTGCAGGTATAAGCTGTAAGGGTGCAGTCACACTTTTGGTTAGTTTCTGTTTTTGTGTAATAAGGAAAGGAAGCAAAGGAAATCGCTTCGACTAATTTACTGTAAAAATGATAACCTGGGGAGAATGGCTTGTTCTCTTAAAAAAACATGAGCTGAGTTCAGGTTTGATTCAGTTGTGATGTCACAGCTAATGAGGATGAAAATTGAGAAAAGTTCTGGCAAATCAAAATGTGCCAGAGGTCCAGTTGACTACAGAGTACAACTGAACTAAACCCACTAAACACTGTCTGTCAAGCTTTGTATTTGTCCACATGTGCAGGCGCTGTGCATTGTTCTCTCATAAGAAAGTTTGGAGGGTATTTTTTTTCTTTCCAAAACCAAAAACACATAAGCACAAGTTTAAGGAATAGATAGGGCTAAATAACAGGTCAATTGCAATTGTTAGCATGTTTGGCTAACTAGCTTCGTACATACAGTAGTTACCAAGCATCACTTCCAAGGCCGCAGAGTGCATCATAACATGACTACATCGATTTGTGGGGTTACAGGTTATGTTAGAAAAAAAAAACCTTCACAGCTGCAGTTGCACATCCAGTGTGTAGTAGCCTATTACCCCACAGTGTGGAGGCTGACACTCGGGTGTCTGTCCTGCTCCTAATTGGCTTTGGGGAAGTTTACACTCCAGCAATGATACTGTCTACCAAACACATGTACACGTTAAAAGTGAAACAGTATACTGACTGAAAATAATGAATGAGTAAATAAGTAAATAATAATATAACAATAATAATAAGTGAGTTAATCAGTCAAACATGGTCATATTAGTAATAAATCTCACCCTACATTTTCCTTATCTTTACTTAAAATACTAGGATGATAGGATGATATTTATTTTTATGTCTTCAACATGCTCATTCAGTTTTATGATGCTCAGCGAGGGCTGAAATCATAAATCCCTGCTGATGTGAATCACATTGTTCAGTTTGGTTCAAACATTCACAGACTCAAACTATGTATTTAGCTACTGAGCTGCCACAACACTGTTCAAAGGCACTTCAGTACATAGAACAATAAGTAAATGCATCAGCATCCATGTGGCTGCAACAGTCAGTGCTGATTCTGTCTTCAGTTCAGTAGTATGTCCAGTCTGCTGCTGGTCCAAGTGCAGTTCAGGAAAAAAATAGTACTGCACATAAGGTAAGTAAAGGAAGGAAGGAAAGTAATCATTTACAACAGAGATATCACATCTTTAGCTGTCTTTTAATTTGCTTTTAACAAGCTAACAGCTTGTTAAAAGCACAGCTAACAACAAAGCTCTCAGCCACCAGTTAGAGGTTGTATGTAGCCATCAACACATATTTAACACCCCTTTCGCAGGGTTCTTATCTTAAATCGTGTCCGGAAGAAACAGTAAAAAGTGAGTCAGAAACTTTGTGTTCAACCAACTCATGGTCTAATGTTATCTAAGTAGTTAAAAGAGATAAAATAGCAGTAAAAGATGTCAGGAAAATCAATACTTGCCATCTAAAGATGAGAAGACAGCTTTTATCTACCTGTGTTGAAATAAAAAAACCCATGGTTTCAAAAATGACTAAGAATTTTCTGTGGTAAATCTGGCACTATGTGTATGTGTTGTGCAAGAATCGAAAGCTTGAAAGCAACTGAAATCGAAATGCAGCCATAACTAGCATGTTGTCATTGTGAGTTAAATGTAGATTTCAGGGTGTCCATAATATGACAATCTGTGTGCTGATGAGGTTGAACTTATTTAGAGGGAAACGAGCGCAGGAGCAAGACCCCACCTTAACAATCAGGTAAATAAGACACAATGGGCTAGGGGTTCTTTGGGAGGGGATCTATAAAATTAACTGGCCAAGCAGAGACAAATGATATTATTATGGTGCATTAACATCATCATCCAAGGAGAAAGAGCACTGGCACAGAGAGAGAGGAGGGGTGGGGGAATTGGGGGGGCATGAACTGGCACATAGCCAAAATCCTCCAGGGGACAAAACAACTGAGATAGATGGAGGTTGGAAACAACAGATAATGCAAAAATATTTCAACAACCATAAATCTTTCTTTTCAAGCACTGTGATAGGCCTATTACTTTAGAGACCATATCTGTGATAACACTTGTGACTCTCCTCCCATATTTTTCTCTCAATCTTCTGTGAACTTTTACTGCTGTAGCTTGGGCACGAGTGAAATTGCAGATCACATTGCTGTGCATGTGCAATTTTCTTATCATTAGCTTTTTTTTCCCATTCAAGCCCCTTGAGTCCCAGAATGACTCAGGTGGTGAGTTTGCTGCGGAACAGGGAAGCTCTCTGGTTATTAGATGACAAGTGTTGAAATGGAGGCACTGGGTTGTCATTGCTGTTGGATGTCATTACACTTCAATCTTCTTAAAGTGTTTTCCAGATACATGCATGACACTTAAATTGATAGTTTTCCAATGAACATCTGTGTCTGACCGCGCAATTTGCAATTTCACAGGAGACAGTACAGTTGCGGGAAGCCTGATTCCCATTTCAGCGGAATTACTTGTGGTATAAGAAAAGGATTACTGAGATTTTCAGTGACTACAGTATCTAAATTGCATGCAGAAGAATGTCCAATCTATTTTACTTTTTCTCTTTTCGAATGAATATCACACAATGCACTGCTGTCTTACGCAGTAATGTTCAATTAACCATGGAATAACAGCCCAGTGAGTGATTAAGTGGGTGATTAGTCTTTATCAAACTACACAGATGATGTCATCAAATTAACACTGGGCTGGGACAATGGGACCACAGTGAGGGCAGATTTGACAAGGGAATCAAAGAGATCCTTTATAACCACTTGGTAAAATGACACAGAGCATGTCTGGCGCAGAGAATAAAGTGATGAAGCTGCTGCCACATTTGGGAGATGAAGGGGAATCATCTCAGGAGAAATCATGCAGAAGGCGTCTGACCTGGGCTACTCACTGAAAAACCACAGGCAGGACCTCAGTGCAGTATGGAGACAACTCAAGAGATTAATGCTCATATTCACCAAAGGCGTGAATATTGGGAACAGCGTTCAATAGGATTTTTAATTTAGAAAGCAATGCTATTCATTAACTGTGTTCATAACAGTGAGCAGGAAAGCCTCTTCACAGCTGTCATGCTCGTGCCCAAGTAACTTCAATGTAAATCTCATTATTTAGCCCCATTATTTAATTTGCAGTGGCAGCAACATAAATCACGTTTGCTCCTTTGCCTCGAGGCGAGTCAGGTCGGGTCAAGTAAAAGTTATTTCTGCAATCTTTCATCACACACACATCACCAGCAGTGCTTTCTAGCTGTAACTAATTATCAATCATCACAAATTATGTTTCAGTACAGAAAGGAAAGGAACACCGGAAAGTGCACAATAAGCTCTAGTGCTAAACACGGTACAGTAAAAACTTTCCCAAACTGCTGTTGTGATGTGTAGACAGTAGAGCCTTTCAACATGTTGTGAAGGCTTTTCACAAAGACTTTGTTGTTTCCGGTGATTCGACATAGGCCTATACAGGAGAGGTGTTCCAGCTTGGAAGCATTATACAGGGGAGCATTACGGTAATGAAGACGCGTCAGTGGATTCTAGCCATCGTGGATCAGTCTTACAGTTGATATGGTTGTTTGTGATACAGGAGGCTAATGGCTTGTGCTGTATCTAACAGATTGTTTTACTGGCTGTATACAGCTCATGTATTTTAGCTCACTCTCTTAGTGCTTGTTTGGGCTAAAGCATTAAAAAATACACAGACTGAGTTTGCAAAATCATCATGAATCAGTGTGTTTTCTGGTTGATATATGATAATTGACCATCTCTCTGAGGCAACATCAGGTATGCAGTGTGTGGCTCTATACAGGAGTCTATTTGTGACATTGGTGTAGTGTAAATGTCTAAATGTGAGTCAGGTTTTTACCTTTTTTCATCTCTGTACCATTCAAACTCTGGTGTGGGCACAGCGGTGGCGTCACATTGCAGCGTCCCCATGCGGCCCACCTGAGTCTCTGAGCTCTGGGTTTTCTTTATTGTCGGAGGGTCTGCAGAGTCACACAGTGTTGAGATGAGTCACATCATAAAACTAATAACCAAACCAGCTCCCATGTACGATACAAATCAAGGCACATGCTGCTACTCTCTCCTCTCATTTGGCAATTATGTTTTCTTTCAGTTTCCTTTGAAATTCTTAGAATTTCCTTTTTCCTAAAAACTAAATTACTCTTATAATGTCCACTATGTCTGAATAGGATCACTGATATAAGCCTTAGCAAGAAGAAAAGCACTTTCATACAATGACAAATGGTCTTTCTTGAATGCCACTGATAAAAGCAAAGAAATAACAAATCAACAAACATCTTGGATGAGCTAAAGGAATTGAGAGTTTCTTCTTTGAGCTACATTTTACAGTGTAAAATCTTATTTAATTATAGGCCACACAAGCCCCATAAATCAATGTCAGATAGATTTGGGGCTAAAAGTTCAAATTCATCAAGTTTAGTATAACATTTATCATATAGACATAATGATCTCAACAAACGTCACAATGGCCAGAAATATGTCCCATGGGGATTAATGCTCATTTTCCATTTAGGATTAAACACTAAGAAATGGTTTAATATAGAATTGTTTATCATTTAATTCTGGCTCTCAGACTTGGCTAAAGTACACTTTGGGCAAACAGCCATACATGATTTGTTCAGATCAAAGAGAAGTGTATAACTCCTCTGGGGAGGGAGTTGGTTTGTGATATCTCATGAGCTGCTCATCAATCCTCAACAGCCAACGTATGTATTACAGTCATCAGATCCGAACATGGACCCCTGACAAGATGTAATTAGGTGATCTTGTTTTGAAATGCTAAGTGTCTCTTAAATGATGATGTGGTATGAAAGATTACCATCGAAATGACAGTTGCAATCAAAGTCACAGATCTTTCTCTTTCTGCCTGGGTTCATCTTGAGAAGTCTGAAGGGTGCTCCAAAACTTTCAAGATACAGCCGTCCCCTTCCCATCGCACACTATACTCTGCATGTCTCTACCCTTAACTCCAGTCTTGACTTTTATGTGCTTTTATCTGTTGAGTGCATCATCTTGTGAAATGTCTAACATGAGACGTGGTGAGAATATTGATCAGTTTGGAAGAGAGCGCACTCTGCGGTCGCTCGTTACTTACAGTTGACAACCACATTGACGTATTTGACATCCGGCGTGGCGACATCGTTGCTGGCCTTGCATTCGTAACGCCCCGCTTGGTTTCGCATGATGCCTATAATGTCCAGGTACTCTTCTCCATCCAACGGCTCTGCTGCAGAGATAGAGACAAAAGGAGAGACAAAGAGAGAAAAAAGCAAATGGAAGAGAAGTTTAATTAATGAGATCCACTCCAGAGTAATAAAATCTTATATTTCAACTCTTTCAACATAGTTGTCCATTAGATATGGACAGCTATGTTGGCTTTGGCTTTGCTTAGCATGCCCACCTATCAATGCATAAAGCTCACTAATTATCATACTTTTCTTTGTGTAATCCTAATAGAAACAAAGTGTAAAATGGCAAGCAGTAGGTGGGTGAGTTATGTGCTTTACCGTTTCCTTGTCATAGTTTGGACAGCAAAAATCAGCATGGAGTCACATTTTTTACATTTCATTCATGATACTGTGAACATGTATTACTCGAGCTTCACACGCTGGAGTAATACATGTTTTATATTTTTGTCCTCATGCTTTTATGTTTTGTCTGACATTCTTCCCAGTTTTCTACTCTGGTGCTATAGAAACTGGTATTTCATTTTAACTGTTTTTTTGGGGGGTTTTTTGCAGTTGAAGTGATAAATAACATAAAAAAATTCTGCTTTGTCACAAGCACATGAGTAAATCTGGCTTCTGCTACTATTTTGCCACCTGCGTCAGTTTGGTTTGGCTGCCATTGGACTGGAGGACACTGAGATACAATTATGGAAAGGAAACAAATGGCCAATCTTATTCAGATTTCAGATTCACTAAAAGCACAAGGTACAAGAAAGAGTGTTAATATTGCTGAAATGTTTGCTTTCACAGTTCATACTGGTATCAGATATAGATCTTTAAACGTGTCAGTGTGCTTGAAACAAAGTAGCTCATAGGACATGTCATCTGACCATGAAGGCAATGGAGTGAGTGAAAAACCTGTCATCACAGGGAGAAGGGAAGACAAGTTCATTGTTCCAGTTGGGATAACAACACATACTTTTTGTCTGGCTCTCCTTGAAGGCACTCAAGGTGTTGCACTTGGATGTAAACACAAAAAGTCACTAACGTAATTGTGTGAAAAATGATCTGATCCAGCATTGGAAAGGCAAGGAAGGGGGAGGAGGTTTGAGATGCTGCTTGACTGTTCGACAAGCACCTCGCTTGATGCATACTGACACTTACATTTCATTGAGACTTGCTCTTGATTAAGGGGTAAATAAACAAGGCATCATTTTGAACTACAGCATGCTTTCATGCTCATTATCAGCAACAGAGGTAATTCAAATTCACAGTCAGGTCATGCTGAAAAACTCAGACTGAATGACTTAGATTGACTCCTCAACTCAAAGCGTGTTTAATATTCAGCTACTTCTTAAGCTATTTCCTGTTTGTCTGAAAGCTTCAATTAACAGAGGAATGGTATCTGCAAATGTCAGACAAAACATCTGAACGGAGGGCAAGAAAACCACAGAGACTATCAGACAGATATATGACTAATTGTTCAATGAGCCATCCACCTAATTAGCCGTGTACAGAGCACAGTGTCTCGACGTCTCATTAGGAAAGATCTGGTATGTCTTATTAAAGATCTATGGGTGTGTCAGGAAGAAGAAATGGCAAATTCTTTGACGTGCTGTCACGTTGATGGTGCTTCATCTTTTATCGCATCTGAAGATAGCATTGGTGTGAGGACCCAGTAACATCCTTATTTGTGATGTGATATAATGTTTGTCATGTGTGACATTGCAATGAACTTGACAGAGATGTGATAATTAATGCTATTTTGGATGTGTTTGCACACTATACAAAGATGTACAGCATGTTTATTTGTCTTAAACATCTATCTGATATCCATTTTGGCCAGACGGAAAAAGAAACCATTGGAAATTGTACTAACTCAATAAGAAATCGTCTGCTTTGAGCCTATATGGCAACAGTGCAGCTCTCTGGGTATTTCTCAAAATGATACAATTATCTTCACTGAAGGAAGATAGTCTCCCGAGGACCCCGCAAATGTAATAACTACAATAGCATCGACTGATACTTCCCTTAATCTATGGAAATAAGAAATGATGGAATCTTGGGAGTGGAAATAAATTGCACAGAGATCTCTGGGGCAAGGGGAGAGAAGTGCACTGTTTGTAACAACAGTAAATGTCAGTAGTCTCAGTTGTGAGAAAGTTCATGCTTTTGTTCCAAGTGAGGGGCTGCAAGTTGTGTGAGACCACAGCGCCACACCCTTGGAAATGAACCAGCAACTTCAGAGACTGTGATATGGGAGGCTAGCTGAAATCAGATGTTCTGCTTTGGTGCACACTCATGAATGACATGCCATTTCATGTCATTAAACCTACAAAAACAACAGATAACAACGCCCCCAAAAACATCAGTGGGCCTTTTACACAGGCCTGAAACACCAAATATTTACAACACTGTGCCTGAATGAAAATGGTCTAAATCCTCAAAACCAAGTGCATGATGGAGATGGAGGTCAGCTGATACAATATTATTTCATGCTGATTGAAAGATCAGTGGGATCATGATCAAAGTCTAAACCAGATCATATTCAGCCCTCCCTGGATGAACTGCCAGAGTAACATGATTGGAGAGGTATGATTGAAAATCTGTTGCCATGGAAATTCTATTGAAGCTCAATCTCTTCTTCAGCACTTTGGTTTGGTGCTGGATGAAGAGAGAGAGAGAGAGAGATAGAGAGAGAGAGAGAGAGAGAGAGTAAACCAGGTGACTGCAAAGATCAAAGACGAGAGAAGAGAGGATAGAAGAGAATTTAAATGACGGATGAGAGGAAGAGGCTCGTGGGGGAAAATTAGCTCAATTTGGAGAAATATGGCGCTAATCAGATTTATCATGCAGAACCATTTTAATTATTTGACCAGCAATATAATTTCATAGTCAGCACACGAAAACTAATAACCGTTTCTTTTGGTGATCAGTCGAGAGGGTCTACAACGCACAAACTAACTTCAGGAAAAAATTATCCTCAACTTAGGCAGAACAAGCAATGAAGGAATTTGATACGCAAAGTCACTGAAAATAAGAAAATGAGGGCAACCACTATATAAACGTACAACAGTTACACAAAATAATGCTAACTACACATGCAATAACTCTTAAGTGAATGAATAGGTAAATGGAATACCGGAGCACTGCCTTCAGGGCATGTGGTCCAGCAGAGGCCAAATAAATGCCTTACTTTAAGATGAGTTCCCAATTAATGAGTAATCAAAACTGGCATTCTGATGCCCAGCCGAGTACAATGAGAGCAAACATCAAGAAAATAAGCTTAGCAGACACACAAAAAAGCAAATATATTACAAGAATACACCTTCTAAGATAGCACATGTTTTTTTGACAGAGTCTCTGGAGCACAGCAGATGAGAGGCAAGAGGAGAGAGGAGTCTGACTGTGAGGAATGTGCAGCTGTGAAGAAGTTATTTGTTCAACATTTCATTTTTGGCAGTTTATCCTCTGTCTGTCAATTCAAAAGAGATGTTGGATTCCCTTTCTTCTTTAATCCCATCTTGATATTCTTCTGTATGTATTTCTATGTAGGAGTTTTAGAGGTCAACAACTTGTCAAAGCAGGTCGGCAGCCCCCCTGCTGCTAGAGGGGCCTGTGGAAACTCCAGTGTGGCTCTCTGGGGCTGCATTTGCTTGTCTGGCTTGTTTGCTCTGCTTCCTTGATTGTCTTTAAATGTAAACAGCAGGTCCGGATTTAGGGTGAATCTTTGGGTGTAGCATGGAAGGTGTCACACACAAAGCTGTGTCTAAGTTCTGCACAGAAATATCACATTTGACTTATTGTTTAAACGCCGCAAATAACTCGGTAATCTCATCTGATGTGTACAAAGAACTGCTCAATCATGAAGGATGAATGGAACATGATGTATTGTCTAAAGAAACAATTAAACACAATTCAACATTTCATGCATCTTTGTCTGTACTCTCAAGAGAATACAGCTTTCTGCACATGAAGTGTATGCTTTACATGTTATTTTTTTAATGAAGCGTAATGAAGATAGATTAGTTAATCTTGTCTTGAGGGAATTGATTAGAGTGTGTGTACAATATACATGTGCATGTATATGCACACATGCCCACGCCTGTGTGTGGAGGCATAATGTCTCGATGGTGAGTATGAAGTGTGCATGCATGCATTGGGGTGCAGACACATTTGTTAGAAGGTTTTTGGGGAGCACTGAATGCAGTGACTGATTCAAAGTGTGCACATTAAAAAAGCCATTAGAAAAGCCCCATGAATCCTGGCATTACACTATATTATGTCATCACATTTTTATGCTAATCTGGATAGAGAAGGGAAAGTGGGTGACAGAGAAGAAAAAAGTACCACAAGTAAGGGAAAGACAAGGCGTGACTATATATTTATATATTTTTCCACATAGCCAGATAGGCCAAGATAGGTAACTTGCCAAGTCCTTTTTGGACTTCCTTATGGTAAAGGTCTACAGCAGAGATCACTAATAGTCAGATCAAGGTCCAGATCTGGACCCAGACGCCGTCCTTTCCGGCACCAGACCTATAACCTATAAATTAGTGAGAATCATTAAATTTCGCATTCACTGAATAAATAAACAGCGGCTTCAAGCATTTTTAATTTTAACTGGCACAGGTTTTCTAGCTTTTACAGCACTGGTCATGTGATAGTACTCAGCCAATCATAGTGACTCGAATGAGATACACACAGGTGAGACAAGAGAGATAGCCTAAGTGACATAAGTGGGGGACCATGACATAAGAGGGCTTGTGGAATGTGTTTAGACTACTGAACTGTGCATCAAAAGCATAAAAAATATGAAGTTCATCCTTCACATGGATGCAGCTATAATTTTGCAATGCAAATGGAAGTGTCATGATTTGTTCTAATTTTCACTCCCAATAATTTTTCAAGAGGTGTCCCATTTTAGGGGCTGCACGTCTAATTTTAGAAGGAAACTATTCTACGATTATTGGAGAGGACTATATACCCAGCCTGCTAAGATCCTAAATTAAATTACCTTTGCTGAGCTCCTTGGAAACGGTGTCTTTTTAGAAGGCAT